GATAAATGTTTATTGAGTGAACTGTTTTGTAATCGATCACCAAAATAGTAAACTGGGGAGTTAATCATTCTTGTAAACACCAGTACACTTTTTTATTATAGCATAATTAAATCGTCTCCATAAAAGAAAACACTAATCTGTCTACATATTTTCTATCACAAATCAGAATTGATTATGTAAAGATCACCTGATTTAAGGATCTATTTTAAAGTAAATAAATAGATTATGCACAAATACAATGAAATTTAGTTCAAAATAAAAGCTAATTGAAGAAATATTTGTTTTCACTTAGTTCCTCATTAGGCCTCCACACTAATATATGTGTTTTACGATTGAATAGAAAATCGATCTCAAAATGAGTGAATTTGAAGATGTAATAGTAACAGAAAAATTGGAAATTAAAACTTAAGTAAATCTGGATAAGCAGTTAACTAACAAAACTAACTATATAAAAGCAGAAAATAGGAATTTAAGCTGGATATAAATATAAATGTTTTGTGTTATTTGTTACATTTAATAATCAGTAGTGCGCAAATGCGTGTAATGAAAATAAGATAGAAAGGTTATCAAACTTACTTACTTACGCCTGTTACTCCTCGTGAAGGAGCATAGGCCGCTCTGAAGCATTTTCCATCCAACCCTGTTCTGGCCAATCCTTTCCAGCTCTTTCCAGTTATTCATCCTTTTCATATCTGATTCTATTTCCTGACGTAATGTGTTCTTTAGTCTTCATTTTTTCCACTTCCCTTCAGGATTCCAAGTTAGCGCTTGTCTCGCGATGCTGCTTCATTGGCTGTCATTATCTGCATTTGTTCGAGTGTATGCGATAGGAGGGCTATGTCATCTGAGAAGTCCAAATCTTCTAGTTGGTTCTGAGCTGTCCATTGTATGCCGTGTTTTCCCTCATATGTCGAGGTCTTCATAATCCAGCCGACCACCAGAAGAAAGAGGAAGGGAGAGAGTAGACAGGTGGTCCTTACTTGGAATGCATCTGTCAGCTGTCCTCCATACACCACCTTGCACTGTAGTCCGGATAATGTTGACAATCTTCTCAGGAACTCCGTAGTGTCGAAGAGCTTTCCTTAACTTCCTTCTATCTACATTGTCAAATGCCTTTTCATAATCAATGAAGTTTATGTACAGTGACGAGTTCCACTCAACTGATTGTTCGACGATGATCCGCAGTGTCGCGATTCGGTCTGTGCACTACCGATCCAGCTTGTTGATCTCGAAGTTGGGGGTCTACTGCGTCTTTCATCCGGTTCAGCAACACTCTGATAAAGACTTTCCCTGGTACTGACAGTAGTTTCACGCCTCTGTAGTTTTCACATTTGCTCAGATCTCCTTTCTTTGAAATCTTGATGAGGTGTCCTTCTTTCCAGCCCATCTGCACTTGTTCCTCCTCCCAAACCTTCTTGAATAGAAGGTGAAGCATGTTTGTAGTTACTTCGATGTCTGACTTCAGTGATTGAGCTGGTATATTATTAGGTCCTGCTGCTTTCTCACTCTTGATTTATCTGATGGCCATTCAATTTCTCCCGTCGTTGCTCGATTGACATCTGTAGGAGTATCTGCGTGCGCTGCTTTGATGTCCGGTGGATTCATTGGAGCCGGTCTATTCAAGGGTTCCTCGAAATACTCTACCCATCTGTTCCTCTGTTGTTGAATTTCAGTGATTGTCCTGCTTTCTTTGTTCTTGACTAGTCTCTGCTTTACTATATTTCCCTGCTAGTTTCTTCATTGTGTCATATAGGTGGTTCATATTTCATTCTCTTGCAGCTGCTTATTCTTCCACGGATTTCTGCTTGTCGGCTTTAATGCTCTTCTTCACATGCTTGTTTGCTTCTGTGAACTCAACTTACGCCTTGACTTTTTCTTTTGTTAATTGCTGTCATCCTTTTCTTCCTTCCTTTGATCTTGTCCGGTGTTTCTATAGAGATCTTTTCCTTCTGATGATGCTTCTTGAGATCCAGAATCTCCTGACACGTTGAAGTCAATGCTTCTTTGATACCTGTCCAGTTGTCCTCCATACTAGTTTCTTCTTCTTTCAGCAGATCTTGTAAGACTTGGAACCTGTTGTTGAGAGCTATCTTGAATTCATTAAGTTTGTCAGTATCTCGAAGGAAGGCTGTATTGAACCTTTGTAGTGCTGTTTGTCCAGTTGTCCACTGCTTCTGTAGCTTCAGTTTTAAATTGGCCGCAACAGGATGGTGATCTGAAGATATGTCAGCTCCTCTCTTGGTTCTCACATCTTCCATTGTCCTTCGGAATTTTTTATTGATGCAGATATGATCTATCTGGTTCTCTGTAGTGTGGTCCGGTGAGATCCATGTAGCTTTGTGTGGGAATATTGTACCGCATATGACCAATTTGTTGAATGCACACAGAATTGCGAATCTTTCCCCATTTTCGTTTCTGTCTCCTAGTCATTCCATGTCTTCCCATGGTATCTTCATATTCGGTGTTATCTATTCCGACTTTGGCTTTTGGATCTCCCATTAGAATGGTGAGGTCGTTTCTTGGGCACTTCTCTATGATTGATTGCAGCCGCTCGTAGAATTGATCTTTAATGTCGTCGTTGGTATCATTGGTGGGTGCATAACATTGGATGATATTCCTTATGATCCCCTCCTTCTTTGTTTTGAATGATGCTTTGATTATTCTGGATCCGTGGGATTCCCATCCTACTAGTGCATTTCGTGCTTCTTTGGACAGCATTAGAGCGACTCCCTGAGTGTGTGGAGCATTTTCCTCTTCGTGACCGGAGTATAGCAGCATCTCTCCCATATTTAGCCTTTGTTGTCCAACTTGGTTTCAATGGGTTTCGCTGATTCCAAGTACTGCCAAGTTGTATCTCCTCATTTCCGTTGCTATTTGACTGGTCTTCCCGGTCTCCCACATTGTTCGAACGTTCCACGTACCTATAAAAACTTTTGTTCTGGTTGTTAGAAGGGTCATCGGCCTCGTGGCTTCCGAAGGACCTCGGCTTTCACCATGAAGCGTCATAATTCTTCTAAATGAAGACCTCCTTACTCCCAGGGCAGAGTTTAAATGTTTTGAATTATTTTTTCTGGTAAGCGTTTTCTAGCGAGTTAGTTTTTTACGGGATGAAGTCGCCAACCCTATGCCCCATCCTCCTCCTTTATCCGGGCTTTAAGCCGACAGTAACTTTGGAAGAGCTACAGGCGGAGTTGTTATTAAACTAGTTACATCAAATTAGGATCACAAATTAAAACGCTAACAAAACTAAAGTTTGAAAGAATTTAAAGAGCAAAGATAAAAAGGTTTTTGAAAAACGTAATAGTGTCCAGGTTGAAAGTTATTTCCACATGATCACCTACATATAATTCACTTATGTTATGATTTGAGCTGACATTATAAACTAACTCCTCGAGATAGTGGACAAGATTTGTAGCTCAGGTTAATGTTTATAGTAAAGTTTTGTTCTCCGAGCTGGATGGTTAGGTCATAAAGCTTTCATTGTTCTCTTGAACAAAATCATCGGGAGTTTGTGTTGATGTTATTCAGACGAACAATAAAACTTCATGACGAAGCTATTCTCGTCAGAGAACGAGACTTCTACTCTTCGTGATTCATTATCCTGGAAATATTAAACTTCGAATTTACCCAGCTCAATATTTATGTACATACTCTGCTCCTTTATTAATTTCAATCAAATCGAAGATTCTTAGTAAACTTCTGTAAATTAGTCATTACTTTTCAAATTTATTTCACAAGATTGTCTTTCTGATATTTTAATCTTCGACTACTTCAATTTAAACAGTCTGTTGATGAAAACCCTTCTGACTTGTCGTAAAATGGTAATGAAAGGGATCTATAGCTAGTTATTTAACTGAATTACTTGCTGATCATATTGTTGGAGGTAACATTCAATCCAAGGGTGTGAACCCAAATTACAAAATTAAAGTCATGTATAACGTTAAGATTAATTATGTAGTCAGTGAAATTATTCATAGTACGATATGAAGAAACGTTTACAATATTAGGAGTGAGCCCATAAAATAATAAAATTGATTAATCACTACAGAGCATAGAAATCATTTTAAACGTCATCTGAAAACTTCTCGAGAACATATTGCTATTAACGGATCAATACATTCAAAGTTATATCAATAGTAATTCCTGATGAACATAACTAGTGCCTTACAACTTCATTTACTGCATAGTTTTCATATTCGGTATTTAAGAAAGTATGTTTTTTGTGAGGAAAATGAATCAAGTTATCATGAATGTGAAATGTATCTACTTTTAAATTAATGTTTGTATTCATTGTGTAAAGTCTGGCTGGGTTAGGAGATGGATGTCACCCAGAGGTTATCAACATATAAAGTGCTGAAAATGATTTGTAACAACTAGATGTAATTTAAACATATCCGGTTGGGATTTCAGACGAGTTGCTGCAAATTACTTGGATATAGTAGATGTCGATAAAAGTCTTTCGTTTCAACAAACAAAGCCTAATTGATTCTCATGATTGGTAACCAAGTATCATCTTGAAGCCGATCAATAACACTAACAAGCTTACAGATGTTAACATTAAGATCCCTTTTTATAATTTTCCAGCGACTTCCTGAGTACATAAAACACGTTTACATTCTATAAAGTATGTAATGCTTGAAATTCTTACTTGCAGTCTGTGAAAAACTTACCTCATGATGAAAATCGCTTATTCAAAGTTTGATCGAAGATGTAATCATTTAAAAGGCATAAAATGATCGGTAAAACGTGATTGGGCTTTAGAAATAGAACACTATATACCAGGAGCTTTTGACTAAATTCTATCAGTAATATATAATGGAATTTAAAAATTTATATTGAAATTTCGTTTATTATTTTTGAATCATAAAGTCAAAACTTTAATTGTAAGGAAGACAAGAGTTTTCTGAAGTTCGTTTCAAAGGAGTACACAGTTGTAGACGCATTTTTGGAACGCTTTTGCTTAGAGGGACCGAAAAGTGTGTATACTTGCACAAATGTTATTAAACTATGTTATCACGAAATTTTCTGGAGATGGAACTGGACTTTTCTAAAGTTGTATCAGGAACAGAGGGCCACACATCAGGTACGTGACTTTGTGGTTCACTTAAAATTTTTGTTATGTACTCATCAACGTCCTCCTCTTCAGATTCGCATAGTGAAGATAGCATGGTGTCTAAGGTATCTTCAGACATATCCATTTTTAATTCTTCCCTATCGAACTGTTTTAGTTGATCAGGGACCTTCGTTTTGTCCATAACCTAAAATTAAGTAAACGTTAGGTTGATTAAACTTAAATATCTTTTAGTTACATATTCCAGATAACCGTCTCCATTTACTGAATTGATGGCAATCATGATATTTATGGAAGGAATTTGTGGCTGCACTATGGTGTTTTGTCTGTTACAGTTCTCCATCAGTAGGAACATCAAATAATGAGATAAAGCAGCCTTGTTTCACGTAAGTCCTTGTACATATTAATGCTATTTTATAAATAGCATCAAGAACTTAAGCGTTGGTACACCTAAAGTCAATAATAATTCACAGTCGTTTAATCAGAAACAGGGTAGAAACTGGTAGAAAAGATTTGTAGCTCAGATGAATGATTCTGATGGAGTTTTGTTCTCTGAGCTGAACGGCTTGGTTGTGGAACTTTCGTCATTATTCTGAACAGCGTCATCAGCGCAAGCTTTAAGCAGAAGTAAAGTGTCCGAATTTTTCCACATATAGCTCACAGCGTGTCCTGTCGACTTTTATATTAATTCTTCATTATTGACCTTTAACCTGTTACTATTCTCTTCTTTATTTTGACTGTACCTCCTACGGACTTAATTATTGGTCCTATATTTGTTCATAATTTTTTTTGATTGGTTGATGAATTGGATCAATTTCAATGTGTCTGTGGATTGCTGATTGACATGGGTATCAAGCTTCCAAAAATTCTCTCGTGTTTTTAGAATTGCCTCTATCCAAGATCTCAACATTTTTCCATTTGAATGAGCGTTCACAGTTAGACTTGAAATGGTTTAATAACGTCTAAAAATGCTTCCATTTAAATATCATATATAGTTCCTCGCTTTAAAATGCAACCTTAATGGTTGAAACTTTTCCGGTGTGAGTGAAAAGATAAATTTGGTTAATGAATTATGTTTTAAAGGCTGTACTTCACATCCAAACGCATGATAAAAAACTAAGGACGAATAACAAATAAAACTTATCAAGCCAGTAAAACAAATAAAAACGTTTCAGAAAAGAATTCTTTCTCTACGATACCATTTATCAGAGTTGTACAATCATATTGACAACTATTTTCCATATATATATATATTGTTGTGTAATGTGTAACTACCTTAAATATGGCGCAATTTGTACACTTTTCTCAGGTTGTGGATTTGGAAACTCCAGAGCTAATCTCCTACTTGATTCGCGGAAACTTAGTTATGGTTAATGTTAAAAAGCAACAAGAACTTTACTAAAAAGTGGAGATATGCAACGAATCATGTTATTTAACTAATTTAATGCCACTAATTCTTATATAAACTGAAGATTTATAATACCGGGCTTACTGTTTGTAAAAATTTGGAGCTGAACAGCAAAAAACTATTTTTACAGATCTACCACGCGACTGACTGATACTAGATTTGGTCTTCGGAAGACAGTCAACTACCAGACAAAGGCATAAAATGAATGGAAATGTTAAGACTGGAGTATATGACCAGGATAAAGAGCCGTTTATTCAGTCCGTGTATCATAAAAGTTGCTCATTAATAAAAATTTAATGTACTTATTTTCTCACTGCTCGACAAAATTGGCAAACAGTTTTATGTGTGATATCTTTATTACACTTCTTATGTTGATGATGCTCTCTGACTAAGTCAGGAGCTACTAGCTACTATCTTCCTTTATTTTAATTACAACTACTCATTTATACTATGATGTAAACTTTCGGGCTATCATGACAAACAGTTAACTTATCAAATTTACAAGTTACTACAGTAACGTAACTCGAATAATTTATACCTTGTTGAAATTCTTCATGGTGGTTGCAGCCGCTTCAAGTGATTCTCCATATTTGGCTGCGTACAGTGAAGTTGTTTGTTTTTTCTGCACAATGTTCATGTGGTCTGCAAAACGAGAGTTTCTAGACTTTAAAGCACGAATCTTAGTTAACTCTTGTGCTAACATAGCACAAGCTCCTCTGTCGTTTTGCCTGGCAGCGCTTCTTATTAAGTTTTCTAAATCTTTTTCTTCTCTTTCCAATTCACTGATATTTCGTCCGACCGACCTCTGTATAGTCCGATTATCTTGTTTTCCTTGTTGCTGAGCTTTTTTGAGTTTTTGTATTATCACAGATGTCATTGATGTATCTAAAAGGTTTAAGGTACACTTCCAATTGAAATAATGTGGTGAAAATATCACTAACACTGCTATTAAAACTGAGATTAACAGAGTGATAAGTCAAAAGCTTGAAAAGTAAATCAACTTTGTTAGAATTTAACCACATAAGTGTTATTTTAAAGACACCAACTAAAGAATGTTGTTCGTCTAAAAGAAAAACGGCTCTCATAAAAGTTGTAATTGATTATAGTGCGCAAATGTATCTCCAAATGTGACTGAAGTCAAGAGCAACGAGTGTCAGAACAAAAACTTATCACTCTTTATGAATACTCAAAACCTGATGCAACATACATTCTCACTTTCACTTTCTGACATCCGTTGTTAGAGCACTGTGGCCAAAATTAACCAAAAACCGGTGATGATTAATCATGGAATTCGGTAAACAACATTATCGGTGTAAACTATATAGCATAAAGTCTGATATTACGGACTTAATAAAAGCATTATGGATGACGACTTATTGGTGTAAACTATTTCAATACTCCTTAGAATTTCACTGCAGTACTTTATTTGGGCTTCTACATATTTAACTCAAATGAGCCGAGTAACTCAACTAATATGGATGCTAGTGAAACAAGACAATATTACTGTGGTGTTTGAATTAACTAATGATTTCTTTGTACTTGTTGAATGATCGATTTCGAATTCTAAATACAATACATTCGTTCGGGCTTATGTCGTAATTCTTGATTCAATTGAGTTAATTCTGGGATTCCTAGTTCACACGATAATTCAAATACTTTCAAACATTATAATTACTCAGTTTTTAAGTAATCACGGAACTCAAATGTAATGAACAGTTTCGCCATCTGCTGGCTATGATTTTATCGACGGCTTGATAAGTACGCCATGCAATTGTTTTAAATAATAAACCTAATACGATTTGGGAACAATATGTTGAATAGTTGACTTTTGAAGCTTTGTATGTCGCTAAAAAGCGGGTTACTGAAATATCTGGAGTGATCGGGAGAGTAAAAATTTTACACATCGAGATGAAATTGCCATATGAATCCAAAGTTGTTTAGTTCCCTGTTTTCTGGCATAACTGAGTTCACTCAGTAAGGTTTGATAGTGGTAGTCAAATAGCAAAAGATATCAAAACACATATCGGCATTTTTTGATAAATGAACGAAAGAATCTATGGCCAAAAACAGCATCGGCCATCAAAATAAACCACTCATTTCAAAGTTAGTTTAAGGAAATCCAACACTTCTGACATACAAATGTTCATTTTCGGTTATTGTTTAGCTAAGACATATCCCCAAAACTTACAAGGGCTGGCCGCGAAAACGGAAGAGAAAAGCAAGAAAAACTAAGTGTGAGCCCATTTGATTATGGGGTAAACGTTATAACGATAATCTTAATCCAAGCTGAACCTTTTCCCGTTGTCATATCGCAGAACTAGAGGCGACTTGATTACAGTCTACAAATTGCTTAGTGATAAATTTACACCTAATATGCCCTCATTTTTCTTGTCTTCCAAAACAGAGAATTTACGAGGACACTCCAAAAAAGTTCATAAGGCGAGAACAAATTACTTGTCAGCTGACTATCGACTTTCCCATCGAATCATCAACGAGTGGAATTCACTACCTCAGCACGTGGTTGAGGCTCCATCCATCGACTCTTTCAAAAGAAAGTTGGATCAACTGAGAGACCACCATTGCCAGGACTAACATGGGCCATCGAGCCTCCTGTCCTTCCCAAACTGAAACTGAAATGGCTTTTATACAGTCTTCTGACGTGGATAGATGTGACGATTTTTGGAAAGCCACCGAAGACGTCTGAAATTTTGCTACTTGTGACCAAGTCGCCTAAGAGGATTTCGGGAGGTACTCGCCTGATAATAGAGTGTCTCCCTAAGTAAATATTAAAAACGTATTGAAGGAGGCTTAATATCTCACTAGAGTTAGTATTTGTATGACACACTCGAAGAAATGACTGTGAGGTGGCGAGAATGAGGTTCTGTTTAACGTCTAGTTTTCTCAAGTACTTTATCTATCTAGGAAAATGGCTAACTTTTTATCACTCCATGTGCTTGTTAGCACTAAAAAGCGATTGTAAAGCCGTTGTTAAGGTATGGCTAGAAAAAAACGACATAAAGCAAAATAATTTTAGCAACAGAATACTGAACTTAGGGAAAATAGTGAACTACTTCTTTTATCGCGAGAATTGGTCCTACTTATGAAATGGTTCAAATAGAATCCTTGACTCGAGGTCGAATTGTGGTTCAAGTGGTTCAAATCGGTCAGATGGTTGAGAATCTTTTGTCTTGAAAAAAAAAACTAAAAATGCATCATAGTCCAAGCTTTGTCGTAAAGGTTCAGCTTCAAAACTTGAATGGTTGAAGATAAGGCTGCTAACATCTGCTCAGTTTCGAATCACAGTCAGGTTATCATCAAGTGTAATCCCATTATTCTAGTTGTTAACCTCATACCAACGTTTTTTTACCGGAACAAGTGCAATATTTTGTGTGCCACGAGCTGAAGAAATTTGATTACATGTTCCAAAAATATCAGGAGTTCAATTATAGGGCTCAGAAGCAATCAATCAGTATATCCTGAGAAAAAAATCTGTGATTTCTTAGTCAAATACATTTGGTAATAAAGTAATAATAGTTATTGGCCACGTCTATTGTAGGAAGTCCACTGGAAGAAACACCAAAGCATGAACAACCTTTATAAAATCTGGAGGTCTCGTTTGCTCTAGATGACATAGAGGAACTCCTCTATAAGTAAGTACATCTGCACCAGTTTACACGAAATGGTCCGACACGTCGTTTAAATAATGACAAAACGGCACGACACCTGTCATATAACATCTAACATCAATAAAATTTGGTCGAGTAGGGACACTATTTGCGCTTATCTAAAGAATCTAAGACAGAATCACCACGTCACATCACCAAATTCGGCAAGTAATTTAAGGAACCAAAACGGCGTTTTTGACACTGACAAAATGAACGACGACCCAGTCCTATTGCGGTAAATAGCAGTCACAGGATTGCTTTATGTAGTATATGGCGGAACATGATCTTGTAGCGTGGCGTCGAGTTGAGATTAACTATGAACACCGCTACCAAGAAACACGTGCCAAATAAATCAGAAGGTGAGGGTTGAACGTAACCAAAGAAACCCATAAAATCTCCGAGAAGCCAAATACCAGAAGGCAATTAATGGACCAAGTCGATGTTTATTTGCTGGCGATCTCGTGGCATCGAAAGGACACCGAGATTGTGCCAGGATACAAGCTTGGTTACAGAACGTAACCGAATTCGCGCGAACTTACAATCAAAGTGTAAGTATAAGAATGGAAGCACAAAATAGCTGTCATTAGCACAGTCAAACAAAAGCACGTTAAAACAAACACTGGTACAGTTGGTTATAATAATAATTGTTTTTATTAAACCAGTCGTGTTCTCGTGGTAAATGTGAGTCACTACAGGAGCCCCCCGCTAGAAAGGGTTTACACTTTCGATAAATAGCGGTTTAAATCGTGGGACTGATCGGCTGACGAGCGATTGTGGGACGGAAGAATTGGCGAACAGGAAAGCGATCGTTGATCGTCGAGTTGCCAACGAAGGTCGTTCTCGGAGAACAGTACCAGGAGCGATGTGCTGTATTTGTTGCTTGAGTTGGCATGCTACACCAGTGGTTTGTATCCAGAATCTGAAGAGGACGTTCGTAGGGAATGCGGAGCAGAAACGCTGCAGACGAAGGACGAAACCACGTTGCGTCGATGAACCAGAAGCGACCATAACGACCAAGTTCCAGACCAAGCGTATGCCAAGCATTCGAAACCAATACATCGACTGAGTGCGTTGACTAGAGCATGGGTGGCCAATCCAGCTTTCGCCAAAGTTGACTGAAGTCGACGGAACCAAACGGAGATGGTCGAAGGCGTGGGCTCAGGAAACAAAAAGAAAATCAAAAAAGAGAAGAGTGTAGCATGCATGTAGCATAGGAATAACACTACACCGTATCGGTTGTTGACTGTGCGACTAGTCGCGGAAGCGTACGGGCAACCGTACTCGGCGACCGGAACGTGAGACGGCAGTCTCGTTCGTATCCCGTGAGCCTGCAATCTCATCCGAGGTCAGAGGCGGCGTGGTCTGCTGATCTGGACGCGAGACTATCGTCTCGTCCGTAGACGGTGCAGATGAAGCGTGCTGTTGACCGGGACGTGAGAATGAGGTCTCAGATGTATCTAGCGTGGGACCTGAAGAAGATTTAAGGATCCCGCTAAGTTTAATAGGTCTAACATTGAATCTCAGGTTACCAGATAGGGCACTGTCATCGACGTGTGCTGGTTTGAGACGATCAACGCTGACGATCTCGATGCGTCCATATCGATCAACCTTGAAGGTCTTTTCGTGACGAGCGATCACGTGTAAAGGGCCTTCGTAAGGTTGTTGCCAAGGTTTGCGTACCGAATCTACTCGTACAAAAACATGTGAACAGGTAGATAACTCTCTCTCGAGAGCGACCTGTCGCTGTTGTATTCGAGTTGACAGCGTTCGCATAAATGCAGACAGTCGATGGACGTAGTCTGATTTACCGAAATCAGGTCTGCTCCGTGGTGTGAAGAATTCTCCGGGCAGACGCAATGTCGTGCCGTATACCAGTTCAGCGGCGGAACATTGTATATCTGCCTTCAAGCTCGTTCGAATACCTAAGGGGCCGACCGATAAGGTTTCGTACCAGTTGTCGTTCTCGTGTGCTCGTAGAGCACTTTTAAGTTGGCAATGAAACCGTTCGACTTAACCATTTGATGCTGGGAGGTAGACGTTAATGCGTATGCGAATGCATTCTGTACCAAGCAGCCGGGTCAGCGAGGAGAATAGTTAATAGGGGAAAATTTCTCGAATAAAGCGTGGAATTCATCGTCACGCGAATATAAAGTAACAAGAGTTCGGTACAAATAAATGGGAGTCTATTATATTAATACTATTCTTATCGTTA